TACCTCCCACACTCCCTTAACATTTCCCTAGTCGGCATTTTCGAGGATTCGATAATAATAAAAAAAAATAATAATAATTTCGGTGATTTAAAAAAAATCATTTTCCGAAAATTATTTAGATTAATTTTTTTTAATTTACTATAGTCGACCCATTTCTTCAGACTTTTTTAAATTATTGTCTTCCCTTATATAATATACAAAAGTTATATACAAAAGTGCTTTTTTAGTTCCACCCTTACTTCCTAAGAAGCCCCAAAAGCCACCCGAATGGCTTGTGCGGGTTAGGGGTAGAAACGGACCGTGGGCTCAAGGTCCCCTCCGAACGACTATTACACAATAGGACAAACACAAATAAATAGCCATACCCCTGGTGGGATTCGAACCCACAAAAAGATTTTCAAAAATTGCTACACTTAAAAATGACAATAATATTATAATTTTGGGCAGTTTTTAATTTCAAAAAAGTTATGGTACCTGATATATCAATCTTAGTAAATTTGGTCAGGAAGGACTTTCAATTCAATTTCAAATTCTTAAACTCCAAATTCTTCACCAGCTCTATTGAATATACATACACAGTAAAAAAAATATATGTTAATTTTAACCAAAACCAGATTTTCCCTATAGGGTTACAGTTTATTTGATTCAAAATAACTATTGGAAAGAATATTTAAATATTGCTTACTACTCTCTAAAAGTGAAACAGTGAAATTTTCACTATTTCCGTCAGTGAGTTATTCACTGTAAAATTAGTGTTTTTCAATATAAATTAGTGAAATTTTAACTTCTCCAAATTAGTGTTTTTTATTATCACTACTTTTCCGAAACTCTCGACATAAAATAGTGAAATTTTAACTTTTTTGAACTAAACCTATTTCACAGTGTAATTTCCACTAAATAAATTAGTGCAAAGAAATCGCTACATGAAAAAGTGAGTATTCACTAATTGCTAGTGGTATACTTATCACTGCGGCAAATAGTTAATATGCACTGTCAATCAGTGAAAATCCACTGTTTTATTTTTAGAGAGTATAGTTTCTGGCACTACTTATTGATGAAAAAAATAACTGCTGTTGTCAAACTAACCCGTGAGGTTTTATTATAAATTGTATGATTGCAAATAGTACATTGACGTGTTCTGCATATTAATGGTTACTGTTTTAAATAATACATTACACACGTTATAAAATTCCTCATAATTTCAATAGAAAGTATTCTTTAAAAACGTCTTGAACATAAAATTTAAAAATTTAGTGCGCATATTTTTTTTAGTTTTTTGGAAGCTTTTTTGTGGCTGCACGGCCAAAATTTGTTTGACCCAAATTAAATATCACCCAAACATTCATAATAAAATATAATATATTATGCCTTTCGGAAAATAAAAAGTAAAAAATAAAATAGATAAACCAAGTTTACAAAAAGTGGTATAACATATGAGGACCCTAGAAGCCAAGGAGTATAAGTACATTTTGTAATTTGAAGTCAAAATTGTTTGTTGTTTTATGACTTTGTTTTACAAGATGTCTAAGCTTAGAATTCATTTATATCTCTTGGATACCAAGTAACATGTAACATTTAATTTATTTTTCTGTACATAACTACATTTTTTTTTAAATGGTATTAGACATAAAATTAATTAAAATAATTTTCAAGAATTTTACTTCCAAATTAAACACAGCCTCAGCCTTTACATCGTAGTTACCCAGGTGTTTGGTTCACACACGTGCTACGTAGCAGAGCACCCTGGATCCTCCCAGTTCCGTTCCAGGATCAAGTTACTCAGGACACTCCCATCGTAGTCCTTATTCAAATCCAGCACAATATTGCATTGTGAAAATCTTCCTCCTTTTATTTCACTATAACCCTACCTTGTAACCTTCAAGACAATGATATGAAAGGTATATTCTTAGATCTCTTCCGGCCGAAAATAGGACGAATGTTACCATTTTTTGTCTAGGATTACCGACATTAGATAGCTTATTTTTAAGTTTTTTTTGTAGATGAGATAAACATCGTACATTTTTAATGAAGACTATAGTAAACAACCATCTGTTTAAATCCTTAAACCATAAAATTTTCGAGACACAAAAATAAAATAATATCAACGGTATAAATATTTAATAATGTGAAGATTATTTAAAAAAACAATTTATATTATTGAAAACGCATTAACTTCAATTTAATTATGTTCTTATAAAAGCCATTAAATATAAAAAAATAAATTGGTAATTTTTCTTTTGTACTTAAGATAACGAAATTGTTTCACTCAAATTATCAAAATAACTGATCAAGAGTGACAACGCAATTTGTTTGTATATTGATTTTATCTAAACTCATACGAAATTAAATTATTCAATTTAATAAATTATTAATACATACAAATTGGTTTTCCGGCTTTTATTGATTCATAACCAGGCTTTTCTGTAATGGCGTAACGCGGTAATTACCGGTTTTGGTAATTGTATTAATCGTCAAACTGGCCGATAATACCTGATTTATATAAATTTTGGAATAAATAGTTTTTACTCGGGGTTAAGGTATAAAAAATGCAATAAGTTATTGAGCATTTATATAAAAGGTGTAATTAGGCATAAGTTTGTTAAAAAAGTTATATTTAGGGTAATTATATAATATATTATTAAAGGGTAAATGAAAATCTAGAAGACATACGATTTTTCTTTACTTTAATATAACATGTTGGATTTTATACCTACCATAACATTTATTTTATTAATTTTTTTAAAACAAAACTATTTATACAAAAACAGTAAGAAATTTGAAAAAATTTGATGTAGAATCGAAGTTTTAAAAATATATGTTAAAATTTAATAGAAAACAGCGAGCAGCGTTTATACACGGAAAAAAAGCTGCACTTTATTAAAGTATAGTCAAAAATAACTAATTATAAGTCATACTTGACTAATTGTCATAGCCAAAAAGCAGTCACTAATAATTAGTCAAATTGTACTAAATGAAATTAGTAGATTTAAATTTAAAAAAAGTTTTGACCCAGCCAGGGATTGAACTCAGGTCTGTCACTTGTCAAGCTGTTGTCATAACCCATTCGGCTATCAGCCGCTCTTATAAAAATCAATTTTTTTGTCAATAAATATTGTTCATATCAAAAATTCACCTGGTTGTTTTAATTTAACTACTTATACTACTCTGAAGTATTTTTTATTTTAGTTTCAAAAATATTGTAGCTTCAATGTAAACAATACTTTTACTGAAAATAGTACATTTTATTTGATTTTAATTTGGGGTTTTACTTGCTTTAAGTAGTAGGTTGTTCCCTTTAAGTATACGAGGTGTGTTCAGAAAATATCGGGAATTTTCGTTTTTTGAAAAAAATATTTATATATTCGTCTACATTAATGTTGTCGCCTTCAAAATAGTCCCCATTGGATATTATGCACATGTGCCAGCTCTTCTTCCAATACTCGAAACACTTCTAAAACTCGATCTTTGGGATGGCCTTTAGTTCTTTCAGCGATGCGCTTTTAATGTCATCTATGCTTGCAAAACGACGGCCCTAAGGTTCTCTTTATTTTTGGGAATAGGAAAAAGTCAGACAGAGGCATGTCTGGCGAGTATGGAGGCTGGGGCATATTACAGTATTGTTTTTGGACAAAAATTTTGTTCACAATTTAACAATTTTGGAACAAATTTTGCTGCCACGCGTTTCATACCCAAAACATTCGAAAAAATTTCATGGGATGAGCCAATCGATATACCAACATCATCAGCGACTTCTCTGATGGTTTATAACCATTTCTTCCACTTTTTCCATGTTTTTATCGGTTGTTAATGTGCTTGGGCGTTCGGGGCGTTCGTTATCTTCAACGTCTTCACGGCCATCTTGGAAACTATTATACCACTTGTAAACTCTTGTTTTACTTATAGCAGACTCACTATAGGCCTTTGTTAACATTTCACAGAATTTATTTTATTTTTTAAGCAAAATTGGATACAAATTTCTTTGATCCATTTTTTTAACGAAAATCGCCGAGCTCATAAAACTCGTCTAACCTTAGCAGCTGCCACAGACAAAGTAAACGATGAAAACAGCTAAAGTTTTTATCATACTTCGGGGGCATGTATACCAATATAATAAAGAAAATTTTATCACAACCGGACCCTCCGAATTTAACAATTCCCGTTATTTTCTGAACACACCTCGTACATATGGTTAACATTTATTCTAAATAAAATGTATTTAATTTTTTATTCCAATATAATAAAGCTAATTGCACTAATGTCGCTTTAATCAGTAATTTGATTTGATATGTGAAATAAGGTAGGTATGTACAAAAAAACAAAACATTTATATAAATACATAGATATATTTATTTTATAAAATCTAACTAAAGTTGTAACTCTATTGAAGCAGTATCACATTTTCAAAATAAGCGTTCTAGCGTTGAGTGAGAACCAGCAGAAAATGGTCCCAAACCGTTTGCAACAAGACTTCAGATTGCTCAATCCACTAAACCAGCCTTAAACCGTCAGAAATTTGATGCTATAATAAATAACGGTTTGTTTTTACCCCAAATAAATAATAATAAAATAATTGTATAGTTAATACTGTAAACCATAGTTAAACGAAACTGAACTAATTATGTGTAGACTGATAAAGGCTTTTTTTCATGATTTGGCAGTTTTTTACATTTATTTTCAAATTCCTATTATTATTATAAGAAACCACGTAACTTTCTGTATTACATATCCATGAAAAATCTCCAGAAAAATCAAAATGAATTGCATTTTTAACAATCTTAATCCGAGATAACCGAAGCGATTTCGCTCTGGCAATTCTCTAGTCTGGCACCCAGACGCTCTGCAAAAACGGGTCTCGGGGGGTCGAGGGGGGCACGGTCAGGTAATGCTCCAATAGGGCTCCCCCTTGCCGCCGTGGGGGCGGCACCTCGCACGCAGCATCGCGGCACGCTCGCCTGACCCGCGCCCGTACGCAGTCTTGGCCGCATGCTGTTCCGGTCTATCGACTGCTGAGCAACTCTCCACCATACATAGCGCACTAGTGTGCAATTATTGCCGCACGGAAATCGGTAAATTAGTGGTTTTCGCGGTGGTTCGAGTGATAACGTTTTGTGTTCCGTTCCGTCTCAATCCTACCGAATGATGTTTGCATGGGCATGATACTGAATCGAAGAAGGCGTGCCTAAAAAATACCCAGGAAACGTGTACCTTCCTATTTATAAGGAACATGCATTGTACTTATTCCTATCAAGTCCAGGCCAACTCGCCTGCTATAGCTTCGGGAGCTGATTTTATAGAGGTAAACTTAGTTTTTGAAGGTATATTTTTCGTTATCAAGTTATGTTTATGTTTTTGAGAATAAAGTAGGAAATTTTTTGAGAGGAAATCCTGGGTTGAGTTTTTACAGGTTTCCCAATAAACAGTGGAAATCCGAATGAAGAAATAAATTGGATACAGTCCCTGTAAATATAAATTGTATGTACAATAATAGATACAATAAATACACTTTTTAGTAATGATTTACGTGAAAATTGTAAACATTTCAATTCAGTAAAAATCATAAAACAAGCCGTCTAAATTCAAACATTTAGCATTATAAAAGCATAGATTAATAAAGTCTCAACTCGACATTATCCCCTGAATCCGAAAATACCGTCAAAAATTATGAAAGTAGAGCAATGTAATCAATTCCATATTATATGAAAAATTGACTATATCTCAAAAACTGTTCTACTTTTATAACTTTTGACATTTTACATTGAAATTGACTGCTAAATGTTTGGGATACAAATTGCTATTGACGATAATGATTTTTCGCTATGACAATTAGTGACTCATTCATTTTTAGAGAGTATATATTGTTTAAAAAGCAGTTGTCGGCGTTTTTGTAGAGGACTCAAATATAAAAATATTCGATTTTAAGGTTATGTTTGTACAACAATTATTTTTTGTTAAATTTCTCCAAACTTAAATATAAATTATATTAGGTAAAGTTATCAAAAGTAAATTCTGCATTAACAAATAAACGTACCGATTTGGATCCTTTGGCAAAACACGAAAATGCAACGATTTAGTTCTTGAATTTTATTTACAATTAAAAACACAATAATTCACCACGATCACTTAAATAAAATACACACACTTACGTAACCTAAGCATCAGTGGCGTAGCTAGGCTCGAGGGGGCCCGTATCACAAATCTGGTAGGGGCCCTTATACGGGAAAAGCTCCTGGCAAAAAAATTTCTGGGTGTCACGCCCAAAATCTATTTTGGGCAAACAAACATTTTTTTTTCGGGTTTAATTTTTTTGCATTAACCAATTTTTTTAATTCAATAGATAATAATATTATATTATATATTATATGTATACATAGCTTTTTATGTACAGGCAAATTTTAAAATTTGGTCTGGTTTTAGACATTTACTGTTCTTCAACATCTTTTAAAAGGGTTTCTATTTAAGTCATTTGAAAAATTGTAATAATAATTTCTAATTTTCTATTAATATGATCTATATATCACGCAAAGCAGACTCAGTATGCGGCGCAGAGCACAGAACAATATGCGCAGACAACGCATAGCGGAAAGGTGCGGCAGAAACAGTTCGTATGAGTAACTGCCTCGTTGGAACAGGAGGGTATTAAGGAAAGTTTTAATTTAATAAATCGAAGTATAAACAACTAAATAATAATATTATTTATTTATTTATTTAATTTCATGCCTCAATTTTTTTAATATGTGGAAATATGTTTTTTGCTTACGCATGTCGAAACCACTCGGGGGCCCCGTATCATTGATACCGCTGATACCGCGGTAGCTACGCCCCTGCTAAGCATATAAGCGTTGAGTTAATTAATCAGTGATATAAGGAATAATAAATCAAAATCGAGAATTAAACCAAAGTTTTTTAGTTTTTACTTGCAACGCAAAACAAAGAGAACGTGCGCGATTTAGCTGTGCAATTGAACAAAATTTGTCGGGGAAGACTTCTGCTTTCCTGACTTTTCTGAAGTTCGTATGCTTTAAATGTATTGTTGACAATTCTTGAATTCACACAATGCTATCAAACACCACTAGATGGCGCTTCCGTTGCGAAAACCCGATGCTTCTTTAGCGTATGGTTAGAAACACTTTTTACTAAGCAACTCAAGGAAGTTACAACCAATGTTGCCAGGTCTGGTGAAAATTCACCATTTTTAATTCATTTGGTAATCTGTTTTTTGTAAATTTAAATAAATACAGATTTGGAAAATATTCAGAAGCCAGAGTAACTACAGAATTAAGCACCGCTTAGCAGAAATTGTACAAAATAATTTTAAAACAAAATGTCTGGATTTTTATATTGGGCAGGTAATCAGATACACAGTTTCCTTTTAATTCCCATAAAATAAAAATTCTTCAATTACTATTAAGTCTTGTTAAAATCTGGTTACAGACTAATATACTATAGATAGTTTAGGGAACTAAAATATTAAAACAGTTTTGGAAAGTTTGCGATGCCAAAAAAGGTTACGAAGGTCCTTTTCTTCCAGAGCTTTAAATAAAATAAATAAAACAAAAATGCAAAATATATTAGACTCCAATTTTACATATTAAAAGATTAATTTTAAACTGCTGTTTTAACTTTACGGTTACTACAGATATTATTAAATCGCACAAATTATAGTATGTATATAATAGATTTTGTTTTTTTTAAGAACAAGTCTGTAATAAAATGTGGTTTAAAGCATTGTATTTAGTTTTATTTTAATTATTACATGTATCTTATTTGAATATGCAAAAAATACAAAATCTGGTGATTGTTAAATCAGGCAACTTTTAAAGCAAGTGTCTGGTAATTTTAAGTTTTTTGACCTGGCAATATTGGTTACAACGTCTGACAGATGTCAGAAGCATACGAGGGACGACTATAATGATCTATGATGGATTTTATTTTATTTATTAATGTTTTTCAAATATATTCTTATTCTTAATCAAAGTAAGTTTTTTATCTAGTGAAAATTTGTTTCACTACAATTTCTCTAACATTACTTTAATATTGCTTAAGACAGCTTGATTAGCCAATAATACCCCCAAATGTCAAATAGAGCCATTCTAAAATTAACCACCAAATGTCATAATTATCGGTCCACCCGATCGGCAAATGTTTATCGCAACCAAGGCAATTTTTGCGGCCAAGTCGGTAACCACCAGATGTCAGAAAATTTTCGTAAATTTACGAGCGAAAGTTTTACCCCCGTGGCATATGTCACGTTTGCGGTAAACATTTCGTTCGTGCATGGTAAAGCTAAATAACTAAATTAAATTGCTAATGGGGGTGAAAGTCTCTCTCGTGGGGGAGATTAATTAGAGGTGGGCCCGGCCGCATATATGCAAATTTTTATGGGGTTTATTCATTTATTAACTACTTTTAATAATGGCCGTTTAGAGGCAGTAACAATTTACTTTGTTAGTGATAAAATGTAGAAACGAGTTTAACATGTCTGTTTTTTTTATAAAATAACCCTGAAATATTATTATTTTATAAAAATTGCAAACCTCAATTTATCAAAATTGTATGCCCTTTCACGATTCTTTAAATTTACACTTGAAATCTACCCTTAGATTGCAGCTATTAACTATAGGGAAATTCCATTAGCACCAGTATCCAAACATTGGTTATTAAAGTAATAATAAAAAATATTTATTTTTGTACATCTTATTTATAATTATCTACTCTTATTGCATGCAATACTATTGTTTTTTTCGTGAATAATGATAAATTTCCGGGACGGGAATAATGAACTCATTATTATTTGACGGTGACACACAGATTCCCCAATTGTTTTATAGATGGCGCTCTATACAAATATTTGATTTAAATCATTTTAAGATAATAATAAGTATTTGTCGTAGAACTTTTCTATACCCTCATTAATTTAAGCACTCGCTCGCAAGCTCGCACGTGCCTAAATTAAATTCGTGTATAAAATGGCGTTTATCAAACTTGATACTTAATATACTATTATCTACTCCTACATTAACGAGCTGTGACTTTATGGCGTTTTAGTCACGGGCTAAAGTTAGCAACAGTGGCTTTTGGGAATTTTAGTCACGGGCTGAAGTATAAATTAGGAAAAAGTGAGGTTAAATGCGTTAAAAGTTGACAGATGTCAAATGTTTAACAAATGAAATTGGTTTTAAATTCTTCTTTGTGTTCGTCTTAGATAAAGTATAGTATGCATGATACATTATATACTATTTTTCTATATTTATTAATAATTAAATCATTTAATTTATTTGAAACTGGATTAAAAACACTTTAAAACATTATGTCATTTTGACACCTGTCATTTTGAAAGCTAACATTCAATAAGGGCTGTCAAAAATGTTAGCTGTCAAGAAAAACACTTAAAAAAAATTAAAAGATGTTATCAGATTTTATGACAATGCCGTTTTACTCGCTATAATTGCAATGAATTTAAATAATAAACTTACCTAGTAATAGGTATCATCAGATATAAAATTATTATTAAGAAACACACCAAACAATTAAAGTAATTACCAATTAAAATTGTATACGATTCATGTATAAATCGAGTATTGATATTGATTTATTTTATATTTACATATTCGATTGTTATTTATAGTATAGTTATAGCTAAATAATGAAATACAAAACAATGCAATTGTTTTTACAATGTAAAAATCAAAAGATAATAAATTATTTTATATAAAAAGTTTGCACAGCATTGTTTGGCCAACCTTACATTGTTTTAGATTTCAATAAATGTTTTATACTTTTAGTCGATAGTTCGTATTGATTCATGTATTTTAAATAATTTAAACGATATTTTCAAATCTAGCAATAATCAAAGGAATTGAAAGCAATTTAGGTACTATAGTACGTAGCATATATGCTCCACACCTCAAAGTCCCACCACGTGACCACGTACGGAACGCAGTCTTTTGAAAATTTGGCATTTAAGGCTTCTCAGGTTATGTATCTGTCAAAGTATAGTCATTGAAAGAAATAATATTTATAGTGTTACCGCTTATGTTTAAGCGTCAAAAGTTAATAAATCTTTATAGTATCACAATAACAATGGTTGCTTTAAGAATTTAGGAATATAAATACTGCATTTAATGAAATTCTAAAGTGTATGGTGCCAAATAAGTGATATTTTTGTGCATTGGGTCAACATTTCTCCATAAAATAGTTTAACTAAACTGCATTTATTAAAAAAAAACTAACTTCTCCATTATGGAATATGAATATCTGTATCAAAGGTAGGTTAATGTATTAGAACAAAAAATATCA